ACTAAAATAATCCAGTTTCTGCGGATGATTTTGTCTTGGGGAAATGAATGAAAAATTCTCCCAGATCCCGCACCGTTCGTACATCCGAAAGCACAACAATAACCCATGTTTTGCGTGATTTCGCGGATATAATTCAGAGTTTTCCGCACCAGTCATGAGCGAAAAACACCTGCTGACATGTGAACAGCGCACGAGACTGCCGAGTCGGGATATTTGGCCCAGAGACTGTTTGGCCACAATGACGTCACGCGCGCGGAGGCTGCTGGGAATGACATGTCAGAAATTCAGACGGCTTTGGTCGAGTTTTGTATCAATAAAAAGCTTTTTTTTCGGGTGTATTATCTCGATTTAAATTAAATAAAAAATACAGGCAGTCTTAAAAACAACATTTCTATAAAAATGTAGCATATTTGGAAGCTTTGCATTTGACCTTTAAGATATTCATTGCTATCGGGATGTTAAGAGCATTCCATGGAATATAACAAAAGGTGTATCTCGAGCCGGTTTCTCAAACTTACCAACCCCACCTTTAACAAACACAACTTTGGAGATGAACATTGTAGTCGTGGACATCATAGTCACAGTTTTTGTACCTGAAATTAGGTTCTGACATTCGATGATCAAAATATTTTGAAAAATGTTGTTATTACCTATCGGGCCCTACACAATTCATAGAAATGTGTGAATCCCTACCTGCAACAGGTGGAAGGCTGGGAGGGAGAGACCCTGGTGGAGGCACGGGGGGTCGCAGGTTCACAGGGGGGGGGTTCATGAGAGGGGGTGGTGGGGGGAGGCCTGGAGGCGGTGGGGTGTCCACACCTGGGAGTGGTGGAGGTTGGAAGGGCAGCATATTGGGCAAATTGACATCCTCCACTACCACTGGGTCACTTCCATGGTCAAAAGGACACATGTCTCCTCTCATGCAGAAGCCCTTTTCTGGAAAACATGACAAACAAGGGAAGAACATCAAACACACAGAACTACAACAACAACAAAAAAAGACAATTTATCGATTTTAATGGATAATATTTGATAAGCGTTCCTTACCATCATAGTCCCGGCATCGTTTCCTCTGTTGGGGGGGCGGGCCCCTGTTGAAAAGGACACGATCCACAGGAGGCCCAGGACGGAAGTCCGACCAGCTTTCAGTGGTGTTGTTGCTATGGTGATGTGTGGGGGCAATGACTGTAATGGTGCTACTCAGTGTTGGCACGGGGAAGTGTGAGGTGGTTGCAGTGGGAACCAGGGCTGCTGGGGTGTAGCCATCCCCCCCCTCGGGCCGGACCGGGGCCAGATCTAACTTCAACTTTCCCGAATCCCGTTCTGCAAAAAGACAAAAGTTGCCTCTTTATAACATGTATTCAAGTGAGAAAATAGACGGACACATTATAAACTTATACACCTTGTTTATATTGTTGTTGTTCCTTTTCCTAATATGCACTCATGATGCCATCACTACTCAATTCTATCAGTTCCAAATGCTCAGGTCAACACCGATACGTCATCATATACAGTAAGTCATTAATAACTGTTACAGATCAAAAAAGCTGAAAATAAATTAGACATAGAATCCAGGAGATAATTATTGGATTGTCTTGTTTGTCATCTCTTATCTAAGTAGATTCATTTTGGAAGGTCAGCAGAAAACCAGATCATAGTTCGAATGGAGTGAGTTTTGAGTAGAGTGCAGATTGTAAAAGAAAGGCATTTCATAATCCAGGATTTGGTGTCATTGCTCTTTCGTGGAAAAACAATGTTCTCAAATGAAAGGCACAAATTGACCTTGCTGGTGCGGTGTAGAAAACTGTAGACCAGTTCAGTTCCATCAACCAGGTTCTTACCTCTACTTTTAGACCGAGTTCTGCTCTGTGACCGGCTCCTGCTACGAATTCTATCTCTCTCTCTGTCTCGGGTTCGATCCTTGCTCCAGCTCCGGCTTCGGCTACGACTGTAACTGCGACTGCGGCCTCTTCTGCGATTGTAGCGATCTCTGTACGAGTCCCTCCTTGGTGGGACGCGGTCATATTCCCTCTTCCTGGAACGGTCGTCTCTCTTGCGATCATCTCCTCTCCTTGAACTTCAGGGAAACAAGGCACGACAAGCGGTGAATTAGTGAGTTAAAAGACAAGTAGATTGAGAAAGTTGAAACATGCAGTTGCACACACCTGATATCCCTGCTGTAACGAGAGCTTGATTGCGGTGGGCTGTGATTCACCCGGCGAGGAACCTTCTTCTCCCGATCGTCTTCTCGGTTTGTCTAAATAAAGTAAAAGTAACTTTGTTATAACTTTTGTATAAATATTTTTGATGGCCACTTATATGAGTGGTACTTTATATTGTGTTGTACTATTATATTCATGTGTGATGCAACAACAGTATTTTTTTAATAGTTTTCCACTCAGTAATACCTCGTCTTTTTTCTGCTCCTCTTTCTCAACTTTGATCAGAGTGGATGGTGGCTCTGGCTGCGGGAGGTAGTTTTTGTTGTCAATGGCTTCAAACAGCTTATCCACAAAAGGCTGTGTCTCTGAAAGATAATGATAGTGCACATGCATGAGTATATATTAGATTAGACAGGAACAATAACACACATTGGATCAGGTAATAAATGTAACAAGGCTTCCAAAATATAGCCTGCATGAAGCAGGGAGATGAAATACCTTTCTGGAGAAATACATCCAACTGGTCTATACAAAGGGCTTTAAGTTCCTTTTCACTTTTGTCTTTCTTCACCAAAGCAACAACATACTTGGCGAGGGCAGAAGGGTCTGCATCACAGCTGGAATAGAGAAAAGACACAAACGAACACAAATAAATAACATGTAAATGTCACATTGTCTGTTTCTAAAAGCATCACCTTATAACTCTATAATGATTCAAGCTGAGTTAAGGAAACACCTGTGTCGCTAACAGTACTTACATGGGCTCGAGGGTTTCAGACAGCCATGTTTTCAAGGCATCAAGGTTTTCAATTATCATTTTAGATCCAGCCAAACCTTCCCTCCACGACGGCCAGAATTAATACTAACTGGGGCGAAGTAGAGTCTATATGATTAAAATGATAGTCGACATTAGCTAGTGAAACAAGCCACTTCAGTGGACTTAGCTCAACAGCCGCGTTCAGGTTGGCTAGCTTAGCTACGCTAGCATGCGTCTTTCCAGGCCACAAACGTGCTGCACGATTCCTCGACTCTCGTAATGTATTTACAATGGAAATGCAGAAGGGGGTAATATATTACTTATTTGCGTCGGATCAGCTAACCGGTAAGATTGTAGAGTATTTATATAAGTTGAACTTATTGACGTACACAAGCTAAACTTGCTACTTTATCCCCTCTCCAGCTAACATGCCATGACGACTATTTACTTCCGCTTGTGTTCCCGTTGGTAAAATATCGCGAGAGAGAGTTAGGAAAGGACTCAAGACATTAGGAAACCGTACACATTATGATTTTGTAAATTATGAATAACAGGTATATACATGGCCAATTGAAAACTGTACAGTGAGTTTTCTTTATTCATTTACAGACTTTGGAAGTAATGGAATACATGAAGTGCATAGAGTAGGTTATTTAATAAGGATACCAACAAATGTAAATGTTACTGTATTCCCATAAAAAATAAGCGATCAGATTATGGTTACTTTTTTTTAAATGGGGATTACTAGTTATTTTATTAAAAATGTTTTCAGGAAATTAGTAATTGTAACGGAAAACCTTCTTAAAAATAACCCTCGAGTCTTAACCCTTTTCATTTATTATTAACAGAGAAAGGGCCACATGAAAATGCAAAGAAATACATGCACCAATAATAATATAAAAAGGAAAACATGTCTACTAGTGTATTGAATTAACAGGATATTAACTTATTAATAATTGTACGAAAGCATTTTAAGATTGAGGATCTGTGTGCTTTTATCCATTTACAGCAGGATTGTATAAACCTAGTCCGCAGAGACTGGCGAACTAGTGCCGTTCAAGTTCTTGAATTACCAAGTGTGGACTGGTACCTGGAGAATTGCCAGGTAGCCCATAAAACACTGTTTGTGCTATAAGCTTGACATTTGTTAAGAGGATTTAAAATCCTTAATTTCCATAAACCAACTATAAGCCATAGAAAGTGTTTCTTGGAACAAGCAGGAGTAGTAATTAATTGGCAACCCTAATTAACCTTCTTCTTAAGTAGCTAAAAGTTATCAATTTATTCACAGACCTGTTTTTGAGCATTTCTTATTTTGTATCTAAACTGTTACATTTGTATTCTCAAATCTCCTTGTGTGAACCTCTTATCTGACTTATCTTTTATTTTATTCTCATTGCTGTTAAAGCCCTAACACCTGAATTTTCCTTACGGGGATGAATCAAGTTTATATCATCTTATGGTATTCCTAATGTCCTTTATGATATAACTGTATTACTGTATATAAATGGCAATGCATTACATTGCTTGGGTGCACAGTATTGTGTGTCACAGGAATTGTTTTATCAGAGAATAAGTGATCAACCACACACCCACTCATGCACAGGAACTGCAGGAGAAAGATTTATTTTAACTAGCTATAGCTTACCATTTTCTTACAATTGGCCTGTGTGTGTATACTTAAACATGTACAAATATGTTTCTGCTGATAGTGCTTGGTGACACAGCTGGAAGCTAGCATGCTTTCTCCAGCCCTCCATGAAAGCAAATGTTTGTACGTTAAAGAGGATTCAATAAGTTAATTGAGATACATTTTTCATTAAATAACATAACATGCATAACAAATATGCATCTGGCTTAAATATATTAATTTATGTATGGTTTAGGTCAGTGGTTCTCAAATGGGGGTACGCGGACCCAGGTACAAAGGTCAAAACCAAGCAAAGTACGTTTTCCTTTGTTTGGTCCCCAACTGTGGAAAACCTTAATACCTGATGTCTGTTGAATCTGTCAACTCGTTTATATCAGGGATACAAATAATCAGAATCAGAAATCAGAAACATGTTTATTGCCAAGTAGGTTTTAACACATAAGAGATTCAAATCAAAGTTTCAAGATTCAAAGGCTTTAATGTCATATGCACACTAACTACAGTGTAGAAATGGCAAAGGAAATCTTGAGTCCCGAGCTCCTCCAACAATGCAACATGTTATATACCACATAAAATAATAACAATTTTTTTTTTTTAATTGTGCGAGTAGAATTGAAAGAGGAATTTATCTTGGTGTTTCTGGTGCATAAATAAACAAATATACATAAAAATAAAACAATGATAAAAATATATATAATAAAATGAAATATGTGCAGTAACAATGTGCAGAATTCGGAGGGTTGTGCAGGACTGAGTGTTAGGATGAACAATGCGAAATAAAATTGCTTACTACAGCTTTCCAATAAATTAGATCATTTATTTTCAATGTATTCTATGTAAATAACATTTTTATATGCCACTGTAGAGCACATTGATTTGCATTGTGTCCGAAGTTGTCGGCAGGATCAAAAAGTCCAAAGCGCAAGGAGAATTCCCTCGAGGGAGAATTCTGGAAAGCTGCCTGCTCAAGTCCTGAAATGATCCAGTGTGGTCTTGAGTACCAGTTCGCCTATAGGCCTACGTCAATGTGTGTTCTGGGTACATACACTACCATTCAAAAGTTTGGACACACATTCAAAGTTTTGTATTCATTTTAATTTGTTCTACATTGTAGATGTATACTGAAGACATCAAAACTATAAAAGAACACATATGGAATTATTTAGTAAACAAAACAATTGTTAAAGAATCCAGAATATGATTTATATTTTGCTGGCAGGATGTTGAGGTATTCATGCTGGTTAAGTGTGCCTTGAATTCTGAATACATCACCAACAGTGACAACAGAAAATCCCCCCCACACCATCACACTTCCTCCTCCATGCTTCACGGTGGGAACCACACATGCAGAAACCATCCGCTCACCTTCTTGTTGCACTTTTATTGTCATTACACAGTACAGGTACTACGTAACAAAATGGTTTCTCTGCATTTGACCCATCCTAGTGTTAGGAGCAGTGGGCTGCCATTATGAACGGCGCCTGGGGAGCAGTGTAGGGAACAGTGCCTTGCACACCACGGTAGCGCTTAATCTTGCCGGGACTTGAACTGGTGACCTTCCAGTTGCCAAGCCAAGCCCATATGGACTTCACCACCTAATTCAGAACACTGCTGCTCGAGTCCTCACTAACACTAAGAAAGTGGATCACATCACTCCAGTTCTGAAGTCTTTACACTGGCTTCCTGTATGTCATCCGCTTACATTGCCCACACTGTCACTTTATGTGAGTATTGTGGACTTATACATTGCAATTGGACAAACACGACAAACACAATGTTTATAATAATATTTAGATCTTTATTGTTTTCCAACGTTTTATTGGAGCTAAAGTAACAAATGGTAGAGAAAGAAAAAAGAGCAGATAAATAAAAAGTTATTAAAATATTATTTTTCCTCTATACAAACCAAAGTGATCCTTATAAAACTGCAGTCTTACAAATGGTCTCCTCTTGCACAAACTGTTATATACATTATCCTAATAAAATCATGATGTAACAGATATTCTGGCTAAATGATTGTATTTACTGAAAAATCATAAACAGTGTAGTCTACAGATGTTTTGAACCAGTACATAGTGTGAAAAACACAAATAGATACATAATGTATTTAATTAGCTGAGTAAAGAATCCACTTTTGCTTTATTTGGTTGGCAACAGAAACTAATTTGTTCTGAATCACAGGAAAAGTTCCTTTTCATTTAAAAAGAAAAACATTCCTATGATTATAATTTTTAAATTGAAAATAGAAAAGCTGTTTTTGTGTATCTAATGCGTTTGATATAGTGATTTAACTTAGGCAGGAAAGGAAGTGTGAGTATATAGATTGTAATAATTTCCTCCCCCCCGCACACTATTTTGAAATAAGTAAAACAGTCTTCGCTCGGTACCTAAAATCTGTGACGAGATAAAGAAATAAAAGTTAAATGAATGGTATCATTTCAAACACAGTACAGTATACCATGTGGAGTGTGAGACTAGTTTTCTCTGTCAATGAACTGCAGGTTGATGGGGTCGGCAGGGCAGAGCAGGCCATGGGTTTTGGACTTGACTTCAGAAGTGAGAGGAGAAACGCAGATGTGGAACTTTTGAATGAGCTGTACAAGGAGCAAAGACACAGACATGTCAATCAGAAGATATTAATCAGAACATTTGCAATTGTGTTTTTATTAAATTGTTAGTAGCACAGCTGGGAGCGGTCAAGCTTCCTCATAAATTAATTATTGTTTGCATTATTTTTAAATATTGCAGCTTTTTCAATTCAATTCAAGTTTATTTATATAGCCCAAAATCACAAATCCTATTTGTCTCAGAGGGCTTCACAAGTCAACAAACACAATTGGTAATGTAAAAACAACAAACGTATTTTATAAGATCAATGTGAAAATACCAAATTAAAAAGAAACATAACACAATGACACAAACACAGTTAGAGTACAATAAATACAATTCCATAAAACGAAGGGTGCATGAGGATGTATAAAAGGGGGTTTAAAACCAGTCTTAACTGTACGCTGTACTAGCGAGTGCAATGCTGCTAAAACAGGAGTGATGTGGTCCATCTTCTTTGTTCCTGTTAAAACCTGTGCTGCAGCATTTTGTATGAATTGAAGGGTCTTTAATGATGAGTTTGGACAGCCTGATAAAAGGGAATTGCAATAATCCAGCCTGGAGGTGATAAAAGCATGGATTAGTGTTTCTGCATTGTTGTGATTTAGGATGTGCCTGATTTTTGCAATATTCCGTAGATGGAAGTAGGCAGTCCTTGAAATTTGCTTTATATGGGATTTAAAAGACAAATCCTCGTCAAAAATAACACCAAGATTTTTTACCGTGGTGCTGGAGGTCATGGTAATACAATTCAAATAAATTATGTTGTTGGACAATTCGTTCCGAAGGTGCTGGGGGCCTATAATGACTTCTGTTTTGTGGGAGTTTAATAATAGAAAGTTGCTGGTCATCCATGTCTTTATGTCTGTGAGGCATTCTTGCAGTTTAACTAATGGAAATTGTACATCTGGTTTAATTGATAGATACAATTGTGTATCATCTGCATAACAATAAAAATGTATGGAGTTATTCCTTATGATATTGCCCAATGGTAGCATATATATGATGAACAGGATGAGTCCAAGTACAGACCCTTGCGGTACTCCATGACTGACTGTAGTTTGTAATGAGGATTAATCGTTGACAGATACAAACTGAGACCGTTTTGATAGATAAGACCTGAACCAGCTTAGTGCAGTTCCCCTTATACCTATCAAAAACTATAGGTTACTTACGTAACCCCAGTTCTCAGAGTAACATGAAGTGAGATGTCTCACTATATGATGCGCCTCAACGCGTATGCAAACAGAAGCATCAATCTCATTACGCCAATCCTGATTGGCTGGTGATCTTGACGTCAACGTCAGGGAATCCACCCACCCTTTAAGTAGCTTGCGCTACGACGCAGCGTCATTCAAAAATAAGCACCTCTTCTCGCTTCGCCTTAGCAAGAAGGGCCGTCTGGTGAGACATCTCACTTCATGTTACTCTGAGAACTGGGGTTACGTAAGTAACCTATAGTTCTCATTCATAACACTCCGTTCGATGTCTCACTATGGGATATTGAAACTCCCGTATTGCTAGACATGCTTATCTCGAAAATCACCAAAACAACCAGAACTTAACAGGTAGAACTCTGTCTCAACACGGGACCCAGCACTGCGCGGGCCACACTTGGAGCAGAGACATCTAGCCTGTAAAAGCGGACAAAAGTGAGCGGCGAGGACCAGCTCGCTGCTGCACAAATGTCTTGGATGGAAACACCCTTGATCAAAGCCCAGGATGTAGCCAGTCCACGAGTAGAATGAGCATGCAGGCCCGTTGGTGCCTGCAAACCCTGACTCGTATAAGCCAGAGCAATCGCTTCCACAATCCAGTGGGAGAGCCGTTGCCTGGTAACGGGCTTGCCCTTCTGAGGGTTAGCCCAGGATATAAAGAGTTGGTCATTACAACGAAACTCTTTTGACCTGTCCATATAGATGCGTAAAGCACGAACTGGACACAGCAAATTCGGCCGCTGTTCCTCAGAGGAACACAGCGGCGGAGGAAATGCCACAATGTCAATGGGGGTACATGAGCCAACCACCTTAGGTATAAAGGCAGGGTTGGGCTTCAGCAACACTCTCGTTTGCCCCGGGGCAAACTGAGTGCATGAAGGATGTACAGAGAGCACATGAATGTCACTGACTCGCTTGGCAGATGCCAGAGCCAGTAACAGCACTGTCTTCAGTGACAGGTGTTTCATGTCAGCTTCTTCCAGGGGTTCAAATGGAGGTCGAGTGAGCCCATCTAAAACCACTGCCAAGTCCCATAAGGGCACCAGTGACCTGGAAACAGGGAGGAGCCTGCGAGCCCCTTTCATAAAACGGCAGACCAAAGGATGTTGGCTAGCCGTCTTTCCCTCAAAGCCCACATGGCATGCAGCAATAGCAGCCAGGTACACTTTGATCGTAGAGAAAGCTCTGTGTTTATCAATTAAGTCCTGTAGAAATGATAAAATCACCCCGACAGGACATTGAAAAGAGATGTGTCCCTTTTGAAGGCACCACTCCTCAAACACCCTCCACTTACAGTCATAGAGAGACCTGGTGGAGGAAGCTCTTGCACTCAGAATAGTGTTTATTACCTTCTGAGGGAGCCCCACTGTATTCAGATTGTACCACTCACGGGCCAGGCCCATAGTGCCAAGCGCTCTGGGTGTGGGTGAAAGATCGTCCCCCCCGCCTGAGACAGTATGTCCCTGCGTAGTGGGAGCTGCCACGGCTGCCCGCACAGCAGCCTGATATATCTCTGCCAGCCAGTACATTGCAGGCCAGTGCGGAGCCATCAGGATAAGTGTGTGGCGTTGTTCTCTCACTCTGGCCAGAGTTGGGGGTATCAGAGCCAGGGGTGGGAACGCGAACAGAAGGACCGGAGGCCAAACGTGCGCAAGCGTGTCCACGCCTAACAGTGCGTTTAAATCGCGCATTGAAAAGAACAACTGACATTGAGCATTTTCTTTTGATGCGAACAGATCCACCGCGGCCCGGCCGTAACGCACCCACAGCTGACTCACAATCATTGGATGTAGAGTCCAGTCTGCATATAGTGGTGCACCTCTGGACAGCAGATCCGCCCCGAGGTCCATCACTCCTGGTACGTGCGTCACTCTCAGAGAGAGGAGACGTCCGCAGCTCCATAAGATCAGTTTGCGTGCCAGCATGTGTAACTGGAGAGAACGCAAACCCCCTTGGCGGTTTATATACGATATTGTGGTCGTGTTGTCTGTCCTCACGAGGACATGATGTCCTCTGAGAAAAGGCAGAAAGTGTTTCAGGGTGAGGAACACCGCTAAAAGCTCCAGATAATTTATGTGTGACCGTTGGAGGTCTCTGCTCCAGAGACCCCTCACAGGTCGACCTTCGTATATACCCCCCCAGCCCGTCAGACATGCGTCTGTGGTGACCACCTTCCGCGATAGGACAGCACCCATAGGCCCGCCCCGTACTAGAAAAGTCGGGTGTAGCAAGTGGCGCAGTGCCATTACGCATTTCATAGTGACCATCACTCTCCACGCGCCATGACGCGCGGGGTCCAATCTGAGGGCAGCTACCCAGCGCTGAAACTCCCTCATGTGTAAGCGTCCCAGTCGTACCACCAGAATGGCTGACGCCATGAGCCCCAGCAACCGCAGACATGACCTGAAGAGAACATATTTGCGTGGCTGGAAATGAGCGAGGCAAGCCCTGAAGGCTTTCACTCTCTCTGCTGACAAGCGGGCTGTAAAGGGCACCGAATTCAGGCGTAGGCCCAGGAAGAGTACAGTCTGGGCTGGAGACAACATGCTCTTTTCTGTGTTTATTACGAAATCCCAGGTCGAGCAGGTGTTTTACGAGGACATTCGTCTGCGTAATAGCCTCTTGCTCCGACTGTGCGAGAAGGAGCCAATCGTCCAGATAAGTTGCCAGGCGAATACCCTGTTGTCTTAACGGGGCTATCGCGGCTTCCGTACACCGTACAAACACTCGCGGGCTGAGAGACAGACCGAAGGGAAGTACTCTGTACTCGTAACAGACACCCTGAAAGGCGAACCTCAGATATTTCCTGTGTGGGTAATATACTGGGATGTGGAAATACGTATCTTTCAGGTCGACTGATGTGAACCAGTCGTTTTGGCGCACGAGACGCAACAGAGATGTGTGAGTGAGCATTCTGAATTTGTATCTTTTGAGATATTTGTTCAGAGCTCTCAAATCTAGTATAGGCCGAATTCCGTTCCCTCCCCGTTTGGGAACGAGGAAATACTTTGAATAAAAGCCGCTCTGACTCTGTTCGGCGGGTATTATCGATATAGCCTTCTTTTCTAGTAGCGAGAAAATCTCTTGCTCTAGAATATGGGCCGACTCTCCCCGGGCCTGTGAATACAGAATGCCCGAGAAGTGAGGGGGGGTGACAGCGAATCGGAGCCTGTAGCCCCGTGTTACTGTCTTGAAAACCGAAGCAGAATCTGTGAGCATCCTCCACTTTTCGCTTCTCAAAGCGAGCGGAGATGTCACAGCTCTGTCGTCTGCCCTCAGTGTCTCTATTTGTTGTGTTATGGGGCCCTCTAGTGTCTGAACACGGTGGTACCCCAGGTTGACAACCCCGGCCGACACTGCGCATGCGTGTGGCGGTGGTGCCTTCACAATCCCGTCTATTGTCCGCCTTTTGAGAGAGGCCGTAGCCACTCTCAAAAGAGTGGCAGACGACAGACTGTTTATTGTTTTTATTTTCATTTTTATTGACTGCGCCCTTGGCTTCAAGCCTGGAAACGACAGTGGAAAAAGATTTATTTTGAAACAACATTGATGACATGTGTTTGTGTGACTTAAACAGGCAGCGGAACTTGCTGTCTTCGATGTTAAGTCCATTTCCCTGATGGCGCGAAACTTGAGGATGACGTTCTGACATCACTCGAGGCGGCGGGAAGATGGGGGCATGGTGGCACCACGAAAACACATGAGCATCCAACACTGGAACGTGCTCTGGAGCTGGGGAACAGGCAACTTCCAGCTCCTTCATCGAGGAG